TCATATCTTGCACCATGAGCAAAATCTTTGCTGTTATCTGAGTAATTATTTCTGATTTCATTTTTCCCAGATCCTGTTTTGTTGCCAGTTCAGAGAGTCCAGGTGGTTGAGTATCAAAGTGTTCCATCTCATTTCCCTTTGGTGTTGCTGTAGGTGATCCAGAAATCTGTTTTTGAGACTTGTTTACGTGTCTTCTCATTTCCACAGGAGGAGGTGCTTCTGGCAACCACACGGCTCACCTTCTCTGCCCTAGGAGCCTGGGATGGCAGCAGGGGAGCTTCCTTCCGGGGGCTGGGACCGGCTGAGCTTCTCTGCCCTAGGAGCCTGGGTTGGAGGCGGGGAGCTTCTGGGTGCTGGGACCAGCTGAGCTTCTCTGCCCTAGGAGCCTGGGATGGAGGCGGGGAGCTTCCTTCCAGATGCTGGGACCGGCTGAGATTCTCTGCCCTAGGAGACTTGTATGTATTTTTTAATGAACCTAGTATAGACAGATTTTAAGCTCAAAGATTTTGGACTTGAAAAGTCTAAAAGTCACTTAGTTGGAAATAAGTAAATATTTTAATGAAATATACCTGGACTACTACTGATTTGATCAGGTTCAAGGTATTTGTCGTAATAACCCTTACATGTGGACAGAACTAGGGACAGTCTATAACAGAGAGATGGATTAAGAATTCACTAAAATATTCAGTGTATCTGATAATACTATTGACCCCAAGGTATTATAATCAACAACAGAATTTGCCTTGAACATTCCCTAAATCAAAAAGATTTCAGGGCCAGGGATTTAGCTCAATGGTTCCGCCGCCTGCCTTGCAAGCGCAAAGTCCTGAGTTTGATCTCCAGTACAAAAAAAAAAAAAAAAAAAAAGATTTCAAAGCAAAAAGAGTCCCTTAAGATTTAACTTAACTATAAAACATACTGCACAGAGTTCTAGAAAGAAGCACAAGGGAACTAACACTAGGCAAATTATCTCCTTTAATACTCACATAACTTCATGAGGTAGGTCTTACCATTCACAGATGCAGAAATATGTACTGAGAGATTAAGTAACTAGTCCAAGGAATTACAGTTAATAAATAAATAGAGCCAGTATTCAAATCAAGGTCTTTCTGGCTCCAGTGCCTATGGTGCCACCAGTAAATTGCCTGAAATCTGGACTAGTTAGTAACATGGCTCACAGAACCTTTCTTCATGTTTTCATTAAACACTATGTGATGTTTAAACTTGATTGTTTACTTGATTGGTGATTAGAGTGGGAGGGCACTAACCTCATCAATCGATTAACTCAAAGATGAGCTCATAGATGAAATGAGCTATTTAGGAGGTGGGCCCTAGTTGGAGAAAGAGGGTCACTGGGGATATGACTTTGAAGGACCTAACTTTTCTCAGGGTCTTTCCCTTGCTCTCTGCTTCCCAGCTGCCATGAAGTGAGCAGGACTGCTCCACCACACCTTTCTGTCATGATGTTCTGCCTCACCTCAAGCCCACAGCAATGGAACCAACCAAGCATGTATTGAAACCTCTGAAACCACGAGCCAAAATAAATCTTTCTTCCTTTAAGTTTTTTCCTCAGGTTATAGCAATGAAAAGCTGACTAATACACTATACACAATGGAAACCATTTGACTTGGCAATTTTTTAAACTGTCTTAAATGGCTTCACTTATGAAATTATATGGGGCTATAGTTTGGATCTGGAACATCTCCTGAAGGTTAAAGGCTTAAGGCAGTGATGGCAAACCTTTTAGAGCTTTCAATGATACAAACAGCCCCTGCAGCACACATGCCATAGGTTCACAATCACCGGCTTAAGATATTAATGACTTAGTCCATAGGTTCGTGCCATCGGGAAATGATGAAAACCTGAAGAGGTGGGGCCTAGTGAGAAGTATTCCTGTCACTGGAGGCATATCTTTGAAGGGCACAGTGGGACCCCAGCTCCTTCCTCTTCCTCTTCTTTCCTGTCCTGGCCATGAAGTGAGCAGCTTTACTGTACTATGCATTCTCTATCATGATGTGCTGCCTTCCCACAGGCCCAAAAGCAACGGTGCCAACTGGCTGTGGACTTAAAGCTCTAAAACTGTGAACCAAAATAAGCTTTCTCTTTTTATAAGGTATTTCAGGTATTTGTTACAGTAACTGAAAGCTGACTAATACATGCAGTCTGCCTAGCAACTATGAAGGAATGTCAGAATACAAGTGTGGAAACAGAAACTAAATATTAGAAGAACACAGTATTTGGTATATATCCAAGTGGATTATCAGCCTGCCTTACAGATCTGAATAACTGGAAATGTTCTGTGAACTGAGTCTGCTCACCACAAGTTTCCAGATGGCCAGAGAATTATATGATAGTTAGAACTTAGAATTATACAGAGAGCATGAGCGACAACCTGGAATAGGATTACCAGCAACCTTTTTCTAAACTATAAGATATTTGCTTGTTAATACTGACTTTGGTTAATGACTCATGCCTAGTGGGGTCACAAAGTAAGAACTCTGCCCTGTCAGTACATAGGAGTTAGTCTCATTTCTTAAGTGAAATAGATTTTCTTAAAATAGTGATGGCAATGTAGCTCTGAGTTATAAAATACTGGGTGTGATGTGGTGATAGATCCAGAGGTACCATATGAATCACTTCTGGAAATAACCAAAAAGTAAAAAAAAACCCAGAATTTTAACTCAACAACTCAAAACTCAAGTTCATCTCAAAGACAATAAATGTTACCCATCAAGAATTGATTCACGGCAACAGTAGAGGTTGTCAAATTTCTGTTTGGTGACTGAGTCATTTACATTCATGGCTGGAACACAGAGCTTCCCAGCTTTGGACAGTTGGTACAGCCTGGGGATGAGAGAAGTCAAGAAGAACATAAAATAATGAGACATTACAATCTACTATTGATTTCTTTTTTCTTTTTTTTTTTTTTTGGTATTGGGGATTGAACTCGGGACCTTGTGCTTTCGAGGCAGGTGGCGGCACCACTGAGCTAAATCCCTGGCCCTACTATTGGTTTCATACTAAATCCTGGAAATATGACCATGAGACATGACTAGTATTATCCTGCTGGAAGGATATTGAGAAGTACTATAATGTGTTTTTAGAGACTATATATAGCTTAGAAATAAAGTTCTCATTCTAAGGTCACATGGGGATGGGTGCTGTGGCACAGCCTGTAATTCCAACACCCGGGATGGTGAGGCAGGAAGATTGCTGCAAGTTCAAGGCTAGTCTGGGCTACATAGTGAGTTGAGTTCAGTCAGAGACAAGAACAAGTCTCTGTCTCGAAAAACCAAAGTCATGCAGGGAAAATCCTCAACCTAACTTTTAAGGCTTTAAATATGTATGTATTTGGTTTTTTGAGACAAGGTCTTGCTGTATGGTTTAGGTTGGCCTTGAACTTACTACATAGCCCAGGCTAAGCTTAAACTTGAGGCAATTCTGCTGCCTCAGCCTCTTGAGTGCTGGGATTACAGGTTTGTGCCACCATGCCTGGCTCAGCAAGTGCTTTTATTTTTTACTTTATTAATATTTTCTTTATGGTGGTAGGAATTAATCAAACTACCACCATACAAGAATATTAACATTAAAATAATCTAATTTATAATCTCAAAACACATACATACATGTATCTCTATGAGTTTATTTTAAATTGTATCAATTAAAAATTAAAATTCTAGAGTTTTCTTTTTGTTTTTGAGACAATCTTGTTATGTAGTTCAGGCTGGCATTGAACTCATAGCCTCCTGAATGCTGGGATTATAGGCATGCACCACCACTCCTGGCAAAACTTTTTAAATTTAACATTCATCCCTTTCTAAGAGTCTGAGGGTATGCTATAATCCATAGTGTTGTATATTAAGAGATCACAATACACTCAAGCAATTACAGTGGCTAATTCAAAATTTACTTCCTTAAAAATTTATTTCATACTTTTCAGTTCTTTGTGGGTAAATAATAGCAAACAAAAATGACTTCAAATTTACTCAGAAAATCACTGCTCATTTGCAAACAGAACCTATGTCCTTGCTCTGTACATAAGCATGTAAGCTCTGTGAGGGTACAGGCTTTTGTGTTTTGTCCATTTCTAAATCCTACCCCTAAAGCAATTCTTGGTTCACTGTAGAACAGTGATGGCAAACCTTTTAGAGCTTTCAATGATACAAACATCTCACTGTAGCATGCAGCAGTGGCCATAGGTTTGCCACTGTTGCTGTACAAATTCAATAAATATTTGTTGAAAAATGAATTAATCCAAAAAAAGACAAGCAGTCACTATATTACAATGACTAGAAAACATGAGGACCCCACCTGCTCCCCCACCTGCCTGTCTTTCACTATTTTGTTTGTTATTTGTGTTATTAATTTAAAAAAGACATGTACAAGTTTAGATCTGGTCAACTAATAGCAGGCTCTAACCTTTAACACAATGTATTCTACTGGTGTGTGATTTCAAGATTTTCTTTTTTTTGGTACCGGGGATCGAACTTGGGACCTTGCGCTTGCAAGGCAGATGGCAGCACCACTGAGCTAATCCCCATTTCAAGAGTATATGTCTCAGCTGCCCAAAGCCAGGGATGCCCATCTGAAATCTTACCGGTGGACTCCAGTGACACTCTCCTCGACTATGCCTTTGATTTTCTTAAACATGTTGGGATACTTTTTATAAATCCAGTGAGTAAGATCCCCTCCATCATCCAAGATCTGCAAAAGATTCATTTTGCTGAAGGCTCAAGGTTTCAGTGCTTTTCTGGGTCTTGTACCCAAATTTCTAATTACCAATTTACAGGTATTTCAAATTTCCCAAATGGTTATACAAAGTAACTTAAAGCTAGAGCTAATGTAATATTATACTAAATACTTAGTCATTAGACACAAGCAAACAATGAGAGGCAAAAAGCCAATTGCAAAGCTCACAGCCAAACGATCCTCCTACATGACACATCTATATAAAAATTTACATTTAATGAGGATTTTTTAATGGATTGATAGCTTAAGTGGTTATCTAGACCACTAGTTCTTGCATATGCAATAGATCTTCAGAAAGCCTGAACTTGATATGGTCAATCTCTGTTGGTTAAATTCAAAACTTTCAACATATTCAATCAAGGCTTAGTTTAAACTAGTTTCCTTTTCAGAACAATGGCTTATAAAGTTGTATTCATTAATCCTTTACTTTTCCCAAAGTACAGGCATTATCCCACCCAACATATCAGGCAGCACTGTGGGGTTTTGCCGAGTACAACCTCACACTTGGTATAAACCAAATTAAAAATAACCAGGGAACCGTGCAGTATGTAGGTGTGCAAGCATGCCTCTGAACAGCTCATCACTATTTCAGGTTGGAATTAAAGATAAATACAATGCTGTGCCCACTGGAGCTTTCATCAGCAGAGGAAAGTTTCTGAATTATTAATAAGCTAAAGAAAGAGCAGCTTAGAATACTATTAGGCATTAGGCTGTGGCACTCCAGCCCTCCACTGGGCTGTTAGAAGCACTCATTGGGACTTCGCACACTGCTTGCTCCACAGTACAAGCAGAAACTCTCACAGACAATGCCCTAAGAAACCCAAAGTATCTTCTGAGTTTCTCTCTCCTTTTTTTTTTTTTTTTGCACATATAGAATCCTGTGGAGTTTTTCCTTGATTCTTTAATCCCTAGCCACAGAAAAGGTCAGAGCCAAACAACAACAAAAACTAAATAATTAGAAACTTTGTGGTTTGTCCCTCTATTCTTGTCTACTTTTCCTTTTAACAAAGCCATCAAATACAAGAAGTTGGCTGTGATTCCTATTTTAGTATATGTGCTGCTGAAGTGAGCACATAACATATAATGAATGTAGTTCTCCCATGCAATGCTATTGCAGAAAACTCTGGTCATCAGGGAATCTTCCTCAGGTTAGAAAGCAAGGAAAAATATTAGATTGTGACAGATCCAGAGAGGTATGGATTCCACTTTCTGGGACATAACTGTTTTCATCCTTGTCTAATTTTCTTCACTAAACTTTCTAGTAGTTTGTGTTGACCCTGTAGTTTGTAAAAGCTCTCTGAGCACAATTCCATATCCTCTTTGTGCTCGTGACTATAAAATTAGTGTTTTATTCCCAGGAGAACTCCCTTGGCATATCTTTTTTAGTATCTGTCAATCACATTCCCTCCTGTCACTGTTAAAATTGGTGGAATAAGCTGACTAATTTTAGAGCCACTGTTATCTCCCTCTGGGATATGAAGGCTTTAACCCGACTTCCTCAAACTACACTTCATGCCATGTGACCTGGATAATTCAGAAAGAAGCTTCTGCTCTGCCAGATAGCAAGTGAGGCCTGCTCTGCACAGCAATCAATGGTTTCTTTTCTCAGTTGATTTCCTAATTTCTCCTCTCACTAATATGCAGAAACATTTGCCAAGCAAGAGTGCCTCATACTTTGTGTAGCATTCTGACTTTCTGTAAATTAGATATGTTATCAGCCTTCAAGACTTGATGTTTTAAAAAATGAAACAAAAATAAAAATGGTGCAAAAATTAAAAAACCCAAAACTTTGTCTAGTCATGTTTTTTCTTTTAGGTCGATAATGAATAAAGAGAAGATATTTGAACGTGCAGGCTTTTCAGGTATACTATAAATTCAGTATATGGATTCTGAAAGAAAACTGAGTACCTCAGGAGTTGTGGGGTTTTTTGATTAGTGTTTTTTAGTGGTTGTTGGGGGGGACAGTAAGAAGTAGCAAGAAATGGAAATGCATTTCTCTTGCTTTTTAAGCAGCTATGTGTGAATCCTGAGCAGCATTTTCATGTTACTGATGAATATGAATGCTTTCAACATCAGCAGCAACAATTAAAGCACTTTGAAGTTACAAGAGGTTCAATACTCTTGGGGTACCTTAAGCAGAAGCATTGAGTTCCACTGGAAACCCAGACACATCAGAAATGAAGCCATTTCTTTCCTTCTTGTTAGGAAACCCTCTCCCAGGCCATAGCCCCCTCCCAACCTAGCCCCCATTTGTACAGAATAGTTGTTAGCAGAAATCTGACCTACCATGTTTGGCTGCCAGCCCTCCACATTCACACATCTATCAATGCACCACCAAAAGTCGTCTTCTGACTCTCCTTTCCAGGCAAAGACAGGAAATCCTATGAAAAATGAACAAAGAAAAACATTTAGGCTGTAAAAAGGGCTGACTCCCAAGTTTTGGCAAGAAGGTGCTAGTTTTCCCCAAGTCCAAACTCTCATTCTGCTGTATTCCTTGGATTGACTTCTTTCTTCACTGACTAGCATTATCTTTAGATACTTTACCTATTCCTTTGTCTTTGGTACTAATTCTGCTCTCCTTAGCCCAAAGAAGACAAGCAAAATAGACAAGAGTATGATGGTTGCTAAAAATATGACTAAAGGAAAAAAGAAATCAGAAATAAGTGCTTCTTGGTATAGTCAAATTGGCATTCTCACCATTTCCCAACTACACTTTGATCTTTCTTGTTTCTATACTTTAGTCATTTCCCTTTCCTCATCAGGAGAGTGCTCACATCTTTCTCATCTGCTAAAATACTGCTTCATGTCATAGTCTACCTAAGTGTCACACCCATTTTGAAGCCTGATTAACCCACTTGAAAGTGAGTACTCAAGAAATCTGAATTTTTCTATTATTTTTTTTATAAATCTATTATTTCTGTAAGGAATTCAGATTTAAAATCTGTCATGGTATTTATCATATATGCCCTCTTATTATCGTTATTACTATGTAAGTGTATTATCTCCTCTACCACAATATAACAATACAAGACTCTGAGGGCAAAGATTGCATAAGTACAATTCACTGGTGTATACATTTAATATTTGTGTGGTTTTCTAGTCAGGTGTGGTGTGCACACCTGTAATCCCAGTAAACAGGAAGGTGAGACAGGAGCATCACTGCAGTTCAAGGCCAGCCTGTACTACATAGTGAGTTCAAGGCCAGCCTGAACTACATAGTGAGACCCTGTGTCTTGGTGTGTGATATATAACATTTTATAAACTAAGTAAATATAAATGAAAGAACAAATGAAATGCCAAAAATGTTACCCTCAAGAGAGACATGTGTTTGCTACCCTGACCTACACATTGCTGCCAGTGAGTGAAGGCAGGAAGCCAGCAAAGTCCAAATTCCTCTGTCTTTTGTCCTTCAAGTATCAGTGAATGTTGTGATCAAATATTAATCTTCTAGGTTGAGTCCTCTTTACTGCTGAAGCAGAAATACCAAACATTAAACCAGGGTGAACTACTTGCTAGAAAACCAGCTGGGCCACAAAATTATGAAGCATTCTCTAATCTATAATACCTTAGATAGTAGGTGTGTTTGCTGGTGTTCTATCAGCAAGTCAAAGCAGAGCATGAATAATGGACTATTCGATATAGGTAGCTATTTGGCAACTATAAAACAACAAGCTAACTAGATCATATTTGACAACAGAAGCCCCAAAAGGGAGCAAACTAATCAAGAGGAGGGATCCATTTTTTGCAAGGCAGCTCTTTTACTGTGAACCTTCCTTAAAGACTTCCACTGAACCAATGGAACTTGTCAGAGACATACATTGTCCAAAGACAAAGCAAAAGACAAGCAAAAGATCTTACCACTTTCTGCTAGAGCAGCAGCTACTTCATTGAGAGTGGAGTAGATATTGCAGGCAGCCCATCGGCACTGTGCCCCCAGAGCACCCAGAGTTTCCATAAGCACCTGTGTAAAAGACAAGGAAGGAGATGAACACACCTGCACCAAATAATTGGTCAAGAAGATTAAGTCTGTGCATCTGACAGTGAGAAAGTACATCAGTAACAACTTAGGTCAGTGATTTCAAACTGTGCTCTACAAAACCTCTTCAGTATTCTGAGCAGAGGGGAGCATGGGAGGCATTCAATATTCTGGGAGAGGCATGGGAGGAGGCTCCAGCTAAGTGGTATGCTTTTATCCATTTAGCAGATTTGGCCCCTAATAAGATTTAACTAAAGGATTTCAGAGCCAAAATGTTGTATGTTCAAAAAACACTTGCAGTTTTGCTTCTGCTTAGGGTGTAGAAAGCCAGAGCAACTTCCATCCTAACAAGGCTGCATAACCTGCAAAGCTTACTTTACTCCATCAAAGAACTGAAGTCGTAAAGCAACCAAGTGAACTGAACTCCAGAGTAAGTCCTTTAAGGAGAGGAGGAATATCATTTCATCTTTGGCAGGGGAGGGAGGAAGAGGTGGTTGCCATACATGAGGGTAAGAAAAATTAGCTAAAATATAATTAAAGGATAAGTGTGTCATCTGAAATTTCTGGCAGCCTCAGCCAGACACAAGGAGATTTCATACTCACAGGCAGGATCTTTCCCAGGGGCTTCTACCCAGCGCTCATAAGACTAGGGGGACTAGCTAGACGTGGAGGAGCATACCTGTAATAACAGCACTCAGGTGGCTGTGAGTTCAAAGCCAGCCTGAACTACATAGCAAGACTGTCTCAAAAAACCAAATCAGGGCCAGGGATTTAGCTCAGTGGTGATGCTGCCTGCCTTGCAAGCACAAGGTTCCGAGTTCGATCCCTGACACCAAAAAAAAAAAAAAAACCAAACCAAAACAAACCCAAAACCAAAAACCACCAGAGGACTGATTGTGGCCACAGCTGGAATAAGCCTGGCATGGTGGTAGATGCCTACAATCCCAGGACTTGGAAGGCTGAGGCAGGAGAGCTACCAAGAGCTCGAGGACAGCCTGGGCTACATGGTGAGTTCCATGCCAGTCTGAACTATATAGCAAGATGCTGTCTCAAAAAAAAAAAAGTAAAAGAGGAAGAGCCACTATAAAACCTGGACACTTCCCTACATTCTTCTCTCCTGGAGTGATAAAAAGATAATTAGAAATTGCATCTGCCATTAGGGACCAGGTAAAGATCCACCACTCCCAGGGAGGGTAGAAGTAAAAGCTCCGCTCCTGGGAGTGGAGCAGGGAATCTTCTTGAGTTCATGACAGTTCACTGATATGAAACAAGGATCTGCTACCTTTTCAGCTCTCCAGAGGGACAGGAAAATACTTTCTGCCCAAGACCCACCTCAAGTGAAAGACAAAATTTGGCTGCTATAGAAAGGAGTCATGAACACTGAAAAAGCCCTGCCTTCAGAGAGGCCTGCCTAACACTGAACCTAACACCGGAGACCCAAGAACCTCACTTGCCCTTACTAAGAGGCTCACCCTGAGACAGCACTTGAGGAGGGAGGCCCCAGTGCCACCCTGTGGCACATATGTGCTAAAGTAGCAGAAAGCTGCAGGTGAAGCAGAAACACTGCAAGATGCCTCTTAGTAACCTCAAATCCTAAGCAATAGCTAAACAGCTTTAGCAATTGCTAAAGGCATGTGAAGCCTACGGTGCATAAGTCCAGCCTATAATGGAGACTGCTACTCAAAGAATTTTAAGACACTGGGGGGGAAAAAAAACCCCACTGTCTAGAAATACAGTATCAATAGAACCAGACTCTGAGATGTGCCAGATGCTTTATCAGGCAAGAACTTTAAAATAACTATGATTAATATGCTTATGTTAAAAGATCTAGTGAAAGACAGACAACATTCATGGACCAATAAGGAATTTAGGCAGAGAGATAAAAACTATAAAAACAAGTTAAGCCAGGTGTGGTAGTACACAACTGTAATCTTGGTACTTGGGAGACTGAGGCAGGAGCATTGCCATGATTTCAAGGCCATCCTGTGCTACACAGTGAGTTCAAGGCCACCCTGAACTACATAATGAGACTCTGCAACCAACCAACCAACCAACCAACCAATAAATGTCAAATAGAAATGCTAAAAAAGAACAAAAGATTAAAAAATAATGAGTTTAAGAATTCCTTCAACTGTCTTATTAATGAACTCTATGTACTTGAGGAGAGATCAACAGAAATTACCAAGCTGAAATACAGAAAGAAAACGATGGGGAAAAAATCAGAACAGAACATGAAGATATATACGACATTATCAAATGGTCTAACACAAATATAATTGGAGTTCCAGAAGGCAAAGAGGGAGAGAACAAGGCAAAAGAAATACATTAAAGGTTAATGGGTAATTATTTTCCAAAAGTAAAAAAGAGGATCCAGAAATAAAGACAGCTCAAAAGCAAAGAGCACACTAGTGTCCAGATCCACTAAAAGAAATGGCTGATTCTAAGGCTAATGCAAGGAGCATATAAGATAAGCTCACACTATCTCATTCTGGAAGGAAGAAAGTGCTGAAAGAATGAAAGTGACATGTCAAAAGAGAAAGAAGCTACACTGAAGAGGCTCCTCCTTATCAAACTGGGGACAACATGAGCATCAAAGTAATGTTGGTAATGGATTAAACCCATTACGAAAAATAGAAAACAAAAATAAATAAATAAATCAAAGGTTTGATGAACAGGACATTTCAGTTTCATAGTACTCCAAAAAAGTATTAATCACAAAGAGGGAGAATAACTTTCACAGAGGAAAAGCTGGCAGACACCACCTCAGTCAGGGCATCAAGGTGAACATCATCAGTTATGAGACAAACTGAAATCATGTATCCCAGCTGGATTCAATGTGGAAAATGCAGCATCACCTCTCTGACATCTCTACCATAGATGTATCTAATAATAAGGAAGCATCAGAAAAGTCAAAACTGAGGATGTTCTACAAAACAATTCATCTGTAATCTTCAAGACTGTCAAGATCATGAAGGTCAAAGGAAGACTTGAGCAACTGTTGTGGACTAAAGGAGACTGACGAGACAACTAAATCTGATACGACTATGGACTGGATTCTTCTCATAAAAAAACACTTTTAGGGGCTGGGATGTGGTAAAGTACTTGTTTAGTATGTGCGAGGCCCTGGGTTCAACTCCCAGCATCATTTGGAGGGGGGCGGTTCATCCACTGATTTGATCTGAACTTACTTTTACTTCAACATATAAGATGGAGATAGGATTCTCTCTTTGGTTAAAAAACTTTCATTAAAATTTCCTGATGGTGGCTAATTAAGGGTACTGCTAATTTTCATTTTTTAAAATTTGTATTTTCTAAGTGGGCGTGGTGACACATGCCTGCAATCCCAGCTACTTGGGGAGGCTGAGGCAGGAGGAAAGCAAGTTCAAACCCAGCCAGGGAAATTTAGTGAGATGTTATCTCAAAGTAAAAAAAAAAAAAACCCGAAAAGACCTGGCATTCAATCTCCAGTACCCTCTGCCCTAACAAATACTGCATTTTCTAAAATTTCCAAACTAAATAAAAATTCTAATTAAAAATAAAAAACTTGCAAACAACTCTACTGACTTAATTTGTCCAAGGGCACATAGTCAGTTACCAGAAGAACTATTTCTGTTTAAATTTCCAGTTCCCACTAATGTATTTTATCTCATTTTTACCTTCTTGTTTTACTTTTTGCTTTAAAGAATTCCTGAATTCCTTGCTGAGTTTTGTAGCACATGCCTATAATCCCAGCATTTGGGAGGCTAAGCCAGGAGGATCACCGCCAGTTCGAGGCTAGCCTGGACTACATAGTGAGTTCAAGGCCAGCCTAAAGTACATAGTGAGACCTGATTCAAAAGACAAAAACAAAACAAAACAAAAAAAGAATTTCTGAATTCCTACAACTAGGATTCTTAAATGTGTCAAACAATAATAAAATGATATGAAGACATCTTTAAAGCAATATAAGTAAACTAGAAAGAAAAATGATTGAACTAAGAATATAAATATTGTGAGTCAAGGCCAAGCGTGGTAGTACACACCTGTAATCCTAGCATTCTGGGAGGCTGAGGCAGGAGGACCACAAGTTGGAGTCCAGCCTGGACAATTTAGTGACTTAATGAGACCCTGTCTCAAAATAAAAAATAGTAATTATTTATTTATTTATTTATTTATTGGAAAAATAGTAATTTTTTAAAAAGGGCTGGAGGGGCCGGGAATTTAGCGCAGTGGTTGCACCGCCTGCCTTCAAAGTGCAAGGTCCTGAGTTCGATGCCAGGTATCAAAAAAAAAAAAAAAGGGCTGGATAATGTAGCTCAGTGTGAAGGCGCTGGGTTCAACCCCCAATACTGCAAGCAAACAAACAAACAAAGAAAAAAATAAATAAACAAAGACCAGAAAAGCTGTGAGTCAAGACCTGTGGCTATTAGGGCTCAAAAACCAGTGAAGGCAGGCAGAAGCAGGAGAGGATAGATGTCAGAAGCTCGTTTAACTTGACTTCAAATCATCATTTTGAAGGAGCAGCAACAGAATCAGATTAGAAGTATGATAACACATATAAAATATATAAATTCATATTTATTAGAAACATGGACAGGAAACCATTAACTATTTCTGGAGCACAGAAGTTTGAGAGAATTTTGCTTTCTATCTTATATGTAGCGGTGATGTCTGAATATTGTAAAATGAACATGTACTCAAAAAACAAAAAATAGAGACTAAAAACAAAAGAAAGCAAACCACTTTTGTAATTTTTTTAAGGAAAAAGAATTGTAGGGTAGAAACATTAAACTTGACAGTGGTTAATTCATTCAGGAAAAAATAGAGGGAGAGCTCTGAAGGGTGGAAATGTTCCGTGAGCCTAGGGATAACAACAAACTAGATATAACTTAGCAACATGAGACAGCAGAGAAGCACTTACTATTTTAAGCCACCACACTCAAGTCTCACATCCTTGACTGAGGAGGCCCAAAAAAGGTTTCAAGAGTATTTCAGCTTTGCTTCATGAGTTTGTAGCTCCAAAAAGAGATAGCTATTCAATTTATTATATTAATTTTGGGCAGTTTCGGTACTTTTTTCCTCAGAGAACATATAACCCAAAAAGTCTCAGAGTAATGACAAAAGCTATTTGTGTCTTCAGGAATCTCTACTGTCCTTAATCAGGAGTGTGACCACATAATATGTGATACAGGAGAGACAATCTTCTGAAAGCCAACCATACAGATGACTCAGATCTTATAAATCCAGTAAAAGATTTCAGGCCTTTTTTTTGATACCAGGGATCAAACTCAGGATCTTGCACTTGTGAGGCAGGTGGAACCACTGAGTAAATCCCCGGCCCACAGAACATTTTTCAATACACCAATTTCCGTGGAGTGGTCTCAATATGGTTGGCAACTCAATATCGCATCGTTGATGATGACTTAAAAGAGATTTTACGAGGGAGTGGGAGCGGTGGTGGTGGTGACACCTGTAATGTCAGCACTCTGGGAGACTAAGACAGGAGGATCATAAGTTTGAGCCCAGCCTAGGCAACTTAGTAAGGAAGAGGCCCTACCTCAAAAAAAGACTGGAGATGCAGCTTAGTGCTAATAAGGCCCTGGGTTCAATCCCCAGTACTGGGGGTGAGGGAAGAGATTTGGAACATTGTGGGGGACATTTTTGGTTGTCATAATGATTGGGAGGGTGCTATTGGCATTTAGTGGGCAAGGTCAGGGATCTGGACATTCTGGAAATATAGTAGAGCTGCTTACAACAAAAAACTATGCTAGCCAGGTGCAGTGGTGCATGCCTGTAATCCCAGTACTTGGGAGGCTGGGGCAAGAGGATCGCCACGAGTTCAAGCCCAGCCTGAACAAGTCTTTTTTTTTGGAACTGGGGATTGAACTCGGGTCCTTGTGCTTCCGCAGCAGGCGGCGAAACCACTGAGCTAAATCCCAGGCCCAAGCCCAGCCTGAACTACACAGTGAGACCCTGTATCAAGTAAACAAACAATGCCAATTTGCTATAATTTTCTAATGTCCCAGAGGAAGTTCACATGGATGAAAAATTATAATTATCTGAGCTTAGCATCTAATTCTACCTTATACATACCTTATACATTAACAAAATTATTTTTATAGTTTTTTTAAAAATTCAAAATAAAGTTTTTCCAGGAATGCAACAATTCTGTAAATCAAAAGAAAACTCATACTTTCCACTGTTGTTGTTGTTATTCAGAAATTTTCTGAGTTTACTATTTTACTATTTTTAGAAAAATCATGTACTTTGGTAATGCTGGAACTAATAATACATCTGATGCTCTGGAACTAATAATACATTTCCTTCTATCTGCACTTACAGCATTCTCATTCATGCTCTAAGGACAAATATTTCACTATCCTACTACTGTTGGGCCCAAGCATTTATATTGAAATTTTTTAATAAATGACTTTCCTTTTATTCCTCCCTCATATTTCAGTTAAGATTTTGTTTATTTTTAAGAAATTACATGTAGCCAGGTATGGTGATGCACACCTGTAATGCTAGCACTTTGCAAGACTGAGTCAGGATGTTTATACAGCCTGGGCAGTTTAGGGGCTTAGGGTGTAACTCAGTGTGAAGGCCCTGGGTCCAATCCTGGCTACCACTACCACACACACAAAATTACATATATGTAGGTATGTTATAGCTCAATTTCATTAATTCAGGAATGCTGAAAAACTTTTAAAAAATTTAAAAGGAGATGGTAAATCTGCTAAGGATGGGAATCATTAGTCTAAACCAATCATGGTAATTCTGGTCTCTTGCCAGAACTGGTGGAGCACAGGCATGTGATCCAATTCTGCTGAATGAGACACGATGGAGTATCCTGGAGACATATGGGAAAGGCTTTCTTACTCTTGGGAGGGAGGAAGAAATGACCTATCTTTTTCATGTCAGTTTGTAATAACCAGAGTAGCTATAACCACCTTACAATCAGCTTGAGGATAAAGTAAGCACACTATGGAGAGAGCTCCAAGAAGTCACAGAGAAAGGAAATGTAAGTCCTGAGAAACTTCACCTGAAGCCTGCCTTCCTGCTGGACTTTTAGCTACAGAATGTAATATGTTCCTTTATGTGTAAGTCAGGTGGAATCCGGTTTTTCTCTTATTTGCAGCTGAAAGCAGCTTAACACACAAGGTTGCCTTGTAGAAATGATACTGGAAGGGAAGATCAGGGGAAGCAAGCAAAGTATGTGCTCACTTACATTGTTATACTGGTATTCAAATCTTCATTGTGAGATCTACTAGCTGTATAACGTTGGACAGATTACTTAAGCTCCCTGAACCTCGGGTTTCTCATCTACAAAATGGAAAGCGAATACCTGCTTCACATGGTGTTTCGAGAATTAATGAAGTAATACTTCTTCAGCTGTTAACTGAGTGCTGGCATATTATAAGCACTCAATATCTGGTGGCAATTATTAACTATTGTTATTAAGAGGAAAAAGGAAAAGGACTCACAGCAGTCTGAGCAGTAATGTGTGTACAACCCACAATTTTGGCTCCAGCCAAAGGCTTTTCTCCTTGAGCTCTCTTCCTCAAAGCCATCAGTGCAGGCATTTCTGAAAAGGCCCAATACAAACACAGCAATATTAGAAAGGAGGGAATAAGAGATAAAGGAATAAATAGAAAAACTTACTCTCTTTGGTTAAGATCCTTTTCTGTTGGACTAGGTTTCTCAAGAGATGAAGACAATAAACCTTAATTTTCTTTTTTAAAAAAATTAATTTCATTGATGCATTTTAGGTATACAATATAATGACATTCATCATTGGAGATTTGTACCTTTACAAAATATAACTTGATTCTTACTTTTTTCCCCCTTTCCCTGCCCTCCCTTCAACCCCTCCACCCCTCCCTATTTAAAAAGACTTTGTTTCCAGTTTTTTCACTGAATTTTCTTTTATTAGGGAGCCTGAGGCAAATGCTCCAGGGTTCTGATGCCCTATATGCCTGTCCTGCTTAGGGGTTCCTTCTAGACTAGCAGACTTCATTTCCTTATAGTGTTTCCTGAGCTCAGACTCTTTTGTTAAAAGCATTCTTCAGTGCCACCCTGAAATTTCACCAGCTACCACAGCCTGGATGTATAAAGGGATTAACATGGACAAAAAGACACAGGCCAACTAGAGAAGGAAAAGATGCCTGCGTTCTTTACCTTGTTCGGCAATTTCAATTTCTCTCCGTCCAAACTCCGCCTGCTTGATGTTCTTGACACAGAAGTCACTGCTTCCCTTTGAGTTCTTCTGCTGCTTGTCCCTGGGGGATGTCTCATCATCAGAGCTATCTGTATATGAAGCCGCTGGAATAACAGAGGAAAGACTCAGAGGGAAAACTGGCTTCTTTGAAGATTCCAAACTATAGAGGAAACTGAGGCTTCTCTAGTCTAAGCTCTGTATGAATTTAAGTGTTTTTTTTTTTTTTAGTACTGGGGATAGAACTCAGGACCTTGCGCTTGTGAGACAGGCAGCGGCCCCTCTGTATGAATTTATACCTCTGGGAAGCATCTAAATGGAACCATGGTGCTGTTCCAAGCATCTCCTATGGAAAGTGCTATCCACAGGTCAGAAAGGGGAAGCTGAGGGCCGAGGATGTAGTTCAGTGGCACCACACCTGCCTTGCAAGCACAAGGTCCTGAGTTTGATCCTCGGTACCAAAAAAAAAAGAAAGAAAGAAAAGGGAAGCTGATAGAAGTGGACAATGATATTCTCCCTATACAGCATTGGGCTAGAATCTAAGGCTAACTTTATTTTCAGAACATTCATTGACTCTGCAATGAATGAATGAATGAATGAATGAATAATTTAAGAAGCTGTTACATCATGGCAGTAACAGGTTTTAAAAATTCCTAATATTAAGACAGTGGTCATTGACTTATGGGTTTCGGGGAGGCCAGCTACCTTCCTCTGTCTGCTGTTTAAATGCCTGATGTGATTTTGTATTAGCACAATAACTGAACAGATAAGACCTAGAAAATAAGGAATGCAAGGGAAAGTAATTAAAATCACACAAAAACTGTTTGTCTGATACAACAGAAGTTTCTTTTTCCGGACTGACTCTGATGAGGCTGAACTATGCCTGCAGATCCAATTAGACATTGAAAATGAAATAAATATTCAATGTGGTCTCCCTTCTTCCTGGTCTCAGTAGGTTTTGCATTAGGCATTTTCGATTCCCAAAGCAGAGAATAAATCCTCTTTTATAAAGTAAAACACTCTGGCAACTAATCCATTTAGCAATATATACTAGAGAGTGATAGGTCCAAGACTTCTAATTGTGGCCAATGGTAGCTGCTGTTACTGCTATTCATGTTCAGCTAAAGTCTTTTTATTCTTCATATAATTCTGTAGTTGCTAATTATTTGTTGGATGACAATACAATTTCCTTCCTTCATTTATATTTTAAGTTTTAGAGCTAGTTCCTCCTAACTCACAGTTTTAGGGGGAATGGGGAATATAAAGCACTATCTATAAAGCATTTTACATCTCTCAATGGGATGAGAAGTACTGTCATCACTTCATTCCCCACCCCACCTCCTATACTGGGGATTAAACTGAGTTTTTGCACATTCCCAGTACCCCCATCCCCCCACCCCATACCAGATATTGAACTCAGGACCTTGTTCTTGTAAGGCAGGCACAGTGCCACTGAGCTAAATCCCTGGACCCCCAGTACTTTATTTTTTGAGAGAGGGTCTCACTGAGTCACTAAGCTGCCCAGGCTTGGCTGAAACTTGGGATCTTCCTGCCTCAGCTTCCCAGAGTGCTGGGATAACAGGCGTGTCCCACTATGCCTAGCCTGCCATCACTTTCAAGGGGTGAAAGCTGCAAAAGCCAGAGCTCTTCGGGTCTATGGTGCTCTGATCTACTTACTTCAAGAGAATTAAGGCATTTCTAGGATTTCTTAGCAGGGGTCTGTCTCTGGGGGTGCTGTGAAAGGCAAGTCTGACCTTGTCTAGTTATTCAAGCGTGGCACTAAACACTTATTGGGGCAGCAGGGGCTTGACGATCTCTGGAACTGGAAAACCGCCCTGGAACAAAGTCCTAACACGAGGCCACAAGAATGAACACCAGCACCAGGGGAGGTACGGGAATTAGTAAACCCCCAAAGGGACTTTTGTTCTTGAAAGGAGCTAATCTGTACAAAAAGTTTCTGGTTCCCCTCCTAGGGTGAGTGAGAGATCAAAGTACTTCTGGCAACAGAGCCTAGCAACAGCTTTCTGGGCAGTCATCTGTTTCACTAATCAATATTCTGATACAGCTTAGGAGTTAGAGGAGTAGGGCAACCATACTTTCCCACCTGCCAGAAGAAAGGTAACAGCCTTTCTGATCCAAATTTGCAAAGAAAGTGCTTTGGAAGAAATATTCAGAATATTTTGTAATTTCAAATCTTTTTCCAGAGCCATGATTTTTACATTCCCCATTAGTCATTTAAATATTACTTTGAACTCAGGCTGACTTTGATTGAAGTCTCAATCTCTGTTTCTTTGTGGAGAGATGACAGCACAGCCTATTTAATAGGGCTGTTAACTTATTCATGCAGCCACTCACACTTGCAGTTGTTCATTTAATAAACTTTAATCAATGTCAGATATTGACGATCCTTACCTTCATGGAGTTTTCAGTTTAGTAGGTGAGCCAGATATGAAAGAACTAATTATAAAATTAGTTATGTAGAGGTTTTTTTTTTTTCTAATACAGTTGTAATGTGTGCTATGAAGCAGAAATCAGAATGCTTAAGACTATATAGCAACTTGTCAGGGCTGTTCAGTGGGAGACCACTTTCCTAGTATGCACAAGGCCCTGGGTTTCATCCCTAGTACTCAAGAAACAAATAAACAAAACAAAAAACTTATTAGAAATTGTTGAGATACAGGTTATGTCCCCCCTGACTTCTGAACATTCGAGCTGCAAACTCGAATGGACCTCACATTATGAACACTGGTAGGTGGGAACAAATCCTTAAGTAACTCACGTGTCTGCTGGACATTGTCACAGTTGTGCTGCTGTGTGCTTACTGTACAGTGTGATAGTGTACAGTATTTCTGTGTGGGTGTGTGTTTTGGGTTTTTTTATGCTTTACATTGCATATTTGTATCAAAAGTGTTTAAGACTCACATTGTCGAATTTACGAATGAACCTGACTTACAAACATTCTCCTGGAATGGAACTCATTCGTAAATTGGGGACTTACTGAATTATAAAATGGTTAGTACAATGCATGCCACATAGTAATTAAGCATTCAATAAATGATGCCTGATATCATTACTTAGCTTTGGGTATATTATAAATTTAGTACTAGATGTAACATCTCAGCTTTAGGATTTTGAATGGGAAAAGAATGACATATATAGAAAATTACTTAGCAATTTCTTTTTTTTTCTACTTCCATCATCTCCTACTAATCTACTAAAGCAGCAGGTGGTTGGCTGGCAGTGATTAAAAAGGTTGAGACTGGAGCCCTAAATACCCAGAATAGCACTCCCTTTCTATGCCACTTTACTTCTACCCTCCTATGTCCTTTATTTTCTAAGGATAAGTTGGGGCAGAGGGTGGGGGAAACAAAAAGCAAAAGTAAATTAAACAAAAAAACTTTCTCTTAAGAGAAGCACTTCAATTTTTTTTTTTTGTTTGAGTTGGTTTTTTCTTTTTCCATTTCAAAGGACAAAATTGTTTATACATACACTTTCCTATTCTAAAAGCTGAAAAAAAAGCACTGTACTTTTTTAATGGTAGTCAATTTGTCATACTTAGTTCAACCAATGTTTTTCTTTGAGCCAAAATAGATTTCTCAAAGAATCTTTTATAAAGAGCTGTTGTTAGGTAAGAACCAAAAGTAGCAACTGTGTAGACTGTACTAATATGGGGGTGCAACATGGCTGACAGATCCAAACCAAAAGAATGTGTTATTTTTGCAAACACGATTATCCTTGAAAGAGCATAACATTTATCCATTTATTTTTTGAATTCAGTTATTCATTTATTTTTTGAATTCACATTTCTGCTACTATATTTAAGGTAGCACATCCAGGGGCTAGGGATGTTGCTCAGTGGTAGAGCGCTTGCCTACCATGTACAAGGCCCTGGGTTCCATCTCCAAAACTGCAAAAATAAATGTACACATATATAATAAAATAAATTAATAAAGGTGTGGCTAGTGAAGTCTAACCAGTCCGGCTCTAAGGGGCACAGGGCACAGGCACAGGGGTTATGGTTCAATAGTAGAGCACTTGCCTAACATGCACAAGGCCTTGGGTTCTATCCCCAGCATTGCAAAAATAAAAATTCAAAATAAAGTAGCACATTCATGAAAATAATTGAGACAACATTAAGGTTCTTCCTATGAAAATTTAGGGAAACCCAACACCTATGTATACACATGCTGGAACAGTTTCCAAAGTATTTGGAATTGTTAGCATACTCTGAAGCCCAGAGTCATAATTTCATTAAAAATGAACCATCAGTAAACTACTATAGTAGCTCTACCATCACCCCTAATTGGTCTAATGATCATTTTTCAATTTATCCAAATGTAAAATGTGCAATATGATAGAACCACTCTCTCCTCAAGCTCACCTTTTCCCCTTGCTACCACCAGAAAAATCTTTTAAGTAAATGAGCTAACAGTCAGAAACGGTTGTCTCTAGGTAGAAATTTTACTATGAGATGTTCTCTTGTTTTGTGATTTTCCAGAATTAAAACACAACTCAATGAAATATTAATTCACAAGCTACTACATAAAACATGCATATACATGTTCTATGGCTCACACTTGATTGAGTTGGCCTTATCTCCCATCTGCTGTGATACTATGGGTTATTGCTAGAATAGCAGTCAGAATTCTGGTTGAATTAGTTTTACTAAATTACTGTAAGTCAGGCAGCTCCTCTTGGGCCCAATCTATTTATTTGGTAATGGAGATTATAGTAGGAACCCATGTCTCAGTGTGCAGATTTCACTGATGAATAACACTTTAAATATATGTGGAAAGCTGTGTTAGCAATGAAAACACAAACAAAGCTATGTCATTTGGAAAAATTTGAAGATATCTCAAACTTTATAAAGCACCAAACATGCATATGGATCTTCTGTCTTCCCTCCTTAACCTTTTTTTTTTTTTTGGTACTGGGGATCAAACTCGGGTCCTTGCACTTGGGAGGCAGGCGGCGGAACCACTGAGCTAAATCCCTGGCCCACCTTCCTCATCCTTAACCACAAAGACAGCTTTTTTAGAAATAAATCTCTGAGGGCCAGGGATTTAGCTCAGTGGTTCCGCCGCCTGCCTCCCAAGCACAAGGACCCGAGTTTGATCCCCAGTACCAAAAAAGAAAAAAAAAAAAGGGAAATAGAAATATATCTCTGAGAATGATCTGACTTTGAAGAAAAGACTCTTCTGTTCATTTGTTTTCTTATGTTTTTTGCTTAAAGAAAATGTTTTTAGGAGCTTATTTCTTGTAAAAGAATTTTAGGAATTAATGCAGCCTTTTTGAATCTAGGTTACCCTAGAATTAAGTCCCAAAGCTTTGAAGGAACTATTGTAGAATTAACTTCTCTCCCCCACATTTAGAAAGGAATTAATAATGCACCATCTTATCAAATCATTATCAAATCTTTGTCTGTTCTGCAATGCAGGTGAGAACCTTGGTTCCTAAATGTCAACACTAGAATCATTAGGAAGAAAGAGGGGCCCATTGCTTATTTAAGCCTCCAGGTAGGTTAAGCAAAACAAGTACTGTGGACAAGAAGGTATCTATATGAACTGCTTATTATAACTCTGACAGGTATCATACACACAGATATATACATACATATATATATATATATATATATATATAAACCTTCTGTCTGTTTACATATATAGAATGTATCACAAACATAAACAGTATATAAAGTATATTAAGGGTGTCTCTGGGGCTAGGGGAATAGTTCAGTGGTGACCACTTGCTTAGCATGTGTAAGGCCCTGGGTTCTATCCCCAGTGCTGGGTGATGCTAGGGCAAAGGCCTGACCTGATTTATTTTAGAAGAATGAATTGGCTTCAAAAGTTGGGAAAGCCTCAAGATGGGAAAGGCTGAAACTCAGGAGATCAATTTTTAAGACATGGAGGGTTTTGGGTTGGGGATTTAGCTCAGTGGTTTCGCCGCCTGCTGCGCAAGCGCAAGAACCCGAGTTCGATCCCCAGTACCAAAAAAAAAAAGACATGGAAGGTTTTAGATATCAATAAAATCTAAAACATTTAGGACTGAGAGGGCAGTTGAATATAGGAATGTAATGTATAGGGAGAAGAATTGAGTAGAAAATAAGAGAATCAAACACTAATACACAGCATATAAAACTGAATGACTTTACTTAGGGAGAGAGTAAATAAACAAAAAAGGGAAAAGTCCAAGGGTCAGTTTTTGTGATTCCTCAATGTTAACTTCCATAGTTATTTAAATTATAATACATGCTGAAAATGGGCCTAAAGTTCCTATCAATATGCATTTGTATATCAGCCCTGAGTCAATTCTAGTAGTCCTTGCTTTTCAATCAGTGGGCACAACATCTTTCTGTCCCACTTCATATAATTTCCCACTGTCTTTGTTATGAGTGTGTGTGATGTAAGCTTTTCCAGGTTCACATAACAATTCATACATGGATCAGACATTAGAAACTAGGGCTTGTCTAACTCCCAGTACAAGAAGCAAGACAGTAGGTATCTCCATTGAGAATTTATTTAAAAGGGCTTTTCAACTGTTTGTGTGAAGGTAACAAAACAAAAAAAATAACCACCAATAAAAGAGCCAACTGTGTGTGTGTGTGTGTGTGTGTAGGGTTGATATAGCTGCTTTAAGCAAATATCTTAGATTTCATTTAAAAGTACTGAGTTTATGGAGCCAACACTTCTTGCAGATTAGGCTATATCATATTTGGAATATTATGTACATAGATATAATATTTTAAGAAGATACCTAATCTGGAATGCATCTAGATGAGCATAATGTAGGATAGCAGAATGCCTCAAAAATCAGACAATCAAAAAGGCTTTTATTTCTAAGTAAACTCTTTCCAGGGATTATATAAGACCTTATCAGATGATAAATAACAAGATAAAGCAAAGAGCAACCTATCATCTAAAATACCAGCAAAGACACCAGGTGGGCATTTGCCAGGGATGTCACAGAGATAATTCCAGCAGCCAGTAAATTATAAGATCTTTTCTACTGCCAGGCTGTTTTGATTATCACTGTTAAATTTAATATTTTTAAATGGATATATTAGGTCCACAATTTCTGACTTATAAAAATGGCTAGCTACCTTTCTTTTCTTTTCCCTTTTTCTCTTTCTCCCTTCCTCCCTCCCTCCTTTCCTTCCTTCCTTCTCTGACTTCTTTCCTGCTTTCCTTCTTGGTTCTCTTTATCTCACCCAGGGGCACTCTACCACTGGGCTATGCTCCCTGCAATTTTTTGAGTCAGGGTCTTACTAAATTGCCCAGGCTGGCTTTGAACTTCTGATCCTCCTACCTCAGCCTCCCAAGTAGCTGATTACAGGGGTGTACCACCATACCCAGCTAAAAATGGCAACTTCATATGCTTCAATCTAAAATCTATATGTTCACTTAGGAACCAAGGGCATGCATCGCCTACATTCTTCTAGGTACTGGGATATTTTGTAAGTACTCTCTCTGCATAGGGGGTTTGGGCAGGAAGGCAGGCATTGGCTTCCTCTGCAGGAATACAGTTGGATACATGGATCTAGTTATATAGGGAAAAGATTGAGCTTGAGTTAAAATTTAGCATCATTACTATTAAGTATTAATCTTTAGATAATATGCACTAACTCATAAACCTAAAAGGTTCAACTCACATTTTCACAGTTATGGCTTTCAGAGTTATTGTAACCATTTTATAAATTTTCGACACTGTTTATTTCACCAGAATAGGACAGATATAAAATTCCCTATTTTTAGATAAAAATCCATAGGAATTTATGTCATATGCCTTATATTATGCACAATTATGGTACAGAGAAAGTAAAAAGAGAAAATAAAAAGTAGTTAAATAACAAATCTATTCAAACTAAATGCTACAGCTTCTCAAAAAATTGTTCTTTTTTGTTTGTTTTTTGAGACAGAGCCTCATTATGTAGTTCAGCTGGCCTTGAACCCACTCTGTAGCCCAGGTTGGCCTTGAACTTGCTGCAATCCTTCTGCCTTGGTCTCTTGAGTGCTGGAACTATAGGCATGTGCCATCATGCCCAACTCTAAGCAATCTTTCTTTTCTTTTTTTTGTATTTTTTGGTTCCGGAGATTGAACTCGGGACCTTGCGGTTGTGAGGCAGGCAGCGGAATCACTGAGCTAAATCCCCAGCCCAACTCAAAGTATTTTTTCAATGAAAAGGCTTAATCAAGCATAATTAGCCTTGGATCAATGGGAGGGTCTGTTGATCACACCTTTTAGCCTTGACACATGGCAGCACTCACCTGAGCTGTAGCTGTCAGTAGATGACTGGGAAATGGAACGAGACAGAGAGCGACGTCCAATTTTGGTGGGACGTTTATTGAATTCTTGCTTCTGGTCAGCAAACTGGATCTGCTAAGAAAAAGAACTCTGGTTATTTAAAGGAAAAGAACTTCAATTTTGAGACACCAACTCAAAGCCTGCATTATCATAGGCTTTTATTTTCCCATGCAGTTGATCTGAATGTACTAATCCATATTTGGAATATTAAGACTCTTCAGAGAGAAGAGTAATTCTTCATTCTTCACCTACTGTGTTTATATTCAATTTAAATCTTTGATCCACTCTCTGACAATATCCTTTTTACAATAAAATTATGACCAAAAAAAGGGAGAAAGAGATGTTTTAGTTTGAATTAATTTTTAAGGTAGTCAATCATATTCAGAAACTTTGCATGGCTTCACAAAAAATTAAAGTTGGAAAGAATCTTTGAAAATGTATGTACATCCACAATCTTCATATATTTAGAAAACTGTAAGGTATAGAAAAGCAAAATGACTTGCTTTCAGGTTTCAAGATTCTTAGGAAATGGTTTGGTATATTAATTTTGAAAAAGGCTTTTCATTCAGACAGAACATCCTGGAATTGCACCAAAATCCTGGTAATGCTACTCATAGCTGTTTGATGTTAATCAAGTGAGCATCATTTTCTCATAAATACAACAGAGATAAAAGCATCTACCTTACAGGTTTTAGAGAGGGTTCAATGGCACAATGCGTATAAATGATAAAACACAGGAGGGGATTCAGTAAATTCACTCGCCATTCTCATACCTCTACACTTCAGTGTTCTTCTAACTCTTACAGGCAGCTGCCTTAATTTATTAGACTTTCTAAAATGTATTAGTTACCTTTCTGGTATTAGTAAATAAATATTAATTTATTATTTTTATGTTTGATATCAAAAATACCTAGAAGCCACAAACTTGCTCACTTATTAACTATAACATAACAATTATAGAAAGAGTAGATGACTGAACTGAATAAACCTCAGGTCATATTCTGTAGGCTGCCTTTGGACAATATCTCATAATGACTTTCTTACAATTTTATCTCTATCTCTTGCAGCTGAAGGTTCCCAGCTGACACTTTATAATAATGTATAAATCAAAGCCATATCATTTATTGAGTTGATAACTTTTTCTTTCCCTAATTGCATGCATAATTGTTTAGATTACTCTTCTGGATCAAAGGTGGCTCAGAGGAAGGTCTACTGAAAAGGATCAAAGATTTGACAACTAATTTTATCATCTTCAATGATAAAAAGATAGATCCTTGATGGACAAAACACAGATACAGCATACCAGAATGAAAGCAGCAACTGAAAACAGCTACACTTCCTGCAGTTAGAGGTAGCTTCTGAGCCATCTGAGTACTGAAACAAGGGGACCAATGCCAAATTGAATTAGCTTAGTATTCATTGTCTCTTAGGGGAAATCACAGCATCTCCATAGCCATAACAACAAATAAAGTCTGCATAGTGCTTCAGAGCTTGCAAGTTATTTTCAGCAATAGAAATATTCGTTGGATTAGAAGCTCATTGCAAAATGAAAAATGACAAATTTGATTATTGTGCTAAAGTAGCAATTTATTACAAAAGGATAAAGAGCTTTTTCTATGTACTCTCATGAGATGCACATGAACTTTCATGTGCTTCTCCTCGTACAGAATTCATAACACAGAATATAACTATCCATCTACCTGTCTCTCCATACATTACAGGCTCCATAAAGGCAAGGGGCAGGGTGGGTACCTTATTCACCTTATATCCTCTGACACAAAGGCCTCACATATCCTAGGCACTCAATCATGTGTTGAACTCATGAACCTGAAGTTGCTTATTCTATCTTTAGTTTGTACCTGGTTAAATATTAAGTAAACATATGCCAAGTCTAAACAAACAAACAAACAAACAAAAAAACATACACCAAGTCTAAAATTAAAGTAATTTTTAAGGACAAGAAAAGATGGAAAAGTGAAGGAGAGGGTGGGAAGCTGGGGAGGTGGATAGGAGACAGGCTCAAAACTGGAGTTCAATTTACCAATCTTGTTCACTATAGTCACACGTCCTTATTCTAGGAAAAGAATAATAATTGCCTTTCCAAAGCCCACACTGAGTCACTAACTTCAGTAGTGCCTCCTTAAAAAAAAAAAAAAAAAAGACCCCAGACAAACCCTGCCTCCAATATATAACACACCCCAAGCACCAGCATACAATCACATATGTACACACTTGAGCACACATGCACATACATACACCACTAGAGGGGGCCACTCCCATTCTCTACATTTGTAGGACTAGGATGAGTCCATATCTATTTACTCCAGTAACATCAAGACATATAGACACCTGCATTGCCATCTCAAACCAGTTTCCCTAAGCCAGTGATGGTAAACCTTTTAGAGATTTCAATGATACAAATAGTCCACTGCAGCATGCGTGCCATAGCTTTGTCACCATTGCCCTAAGCTGAGCTCCCTTCTCTATGGTTTATTTTGCTTAGAGTAATCCCTTCACTTAGGACAAGTTCAGGCTATCTTTTGGCATAAAAGAACAGGCTGCGCAGGCTTTCTGCATTTAGAACACAGGGTTCTTGCTTACTGGTTACATGACGAATTCAAGTTTCTTTAAAACAGAGGAACATTAGAGAAAGACTAACAACTTACAAATAGTAAGTTATACAATTTTCCCAAGAAATGCTTATCTTTCACTAATAACCAGAAAATGAGTTAAATGGATCATCCTTGGTGCTCACTACCCTTCAGAGTTTAAGTACCATTATATTCTTCACTCAAAAGTCTATTTTGTAATACAATGATCTGCCCACCCCAGTTGTGATACCTTGACAGATTCTACCCGACTTTCCTACCTTGTCTGAAACCAGAGTCCTTTCAAGTAACCTTCCTTTTCCATCTCAGACAGCGCTGCCTAATGCCAAAAGGAATCAAAGCAAGAGAGGGAAAGAGGCTGCTAAGAGAGGGGTAGCTCCCCATGAGCCACAGGGAGGAATGAAAGCAGGACAAGAGGGTAAGGACAGAATAAGCAGCTGGCCTTGGACAATAATAGCCACAGCAGCAGCAAGACTGGTAAATAAGAGCTTAGCCTCACCTGGGCTTTAATCCCAGAGTTGCCACTGACAATGTATTTCTTCTTGCTGCTCAGCATAGTGACATTACCAGCCCTACTGCCACCTCTTTAGTCCAGGGACCCTTGTGGCCAGGCCTTTAAACTTTCCTCATCAGCAATTCTGTTGGCTCTGGTTCCAGCTAGCTTTTTTCTTTTCTTTCTTTCTTTCTTTTTTTTTTTTTTTGAAGGGGGGCTATCTATCCTTCCTTGAAATCTCTGAAGCAGCTCCAACAACCCCTTCAGCAGCAGAGTCCTAATTTAATAAGGCAGTTCTGTTAGTGGCTCATTAGCCATTCCTAATTTTGGTAGCCGTTTTGGTTTTATTATTTTTTTTCCTAAACACCTAATTACATGGATCCTCTGACCTCTAAACCTTAACAAGTCCCTTGACAAGGCCCGACTTGCACACGCATACAATAGCTTATTTATATAACTAGTGGACTTTTTTGCCTGCTATAATTAACTTGCTAATTAGGTCCCTTTTTAACCTTACCTCCTCCTTTTCTGAGTCAGATGATTTTGGTTAACCTAGTCTCATTAGAAAAAAAAAATTAACTAAAAAGCCACTAAAACAATAAGGGAATTTATTAAGAAAATAAAAAAAATTAATTGTGCCAAGTGCTCATGCAGCCCTTTCCTGTACTGTGTTCCTTAGATTAGCCAGACATGGGACAGTGGTTTCAGCTCTAAAACAAAGGAAATCAACTTTCTGGTTCTGTTTCTTTATGTGTGTGTGTGTGGGGGGGGTGTTACTGGAGATTGAATCCAGGGCCTTTGCACTGAGCAACACCCCCAGCCCTTTTAACCCTTTAAAATTTTTTTATTTTGAGATAGGGACTAAGTTGCCCAGTATGGTCTCAAACTTTTGATCTTTCTCCCTTAGTTCTGGGATTACACACACACACACACACACACACACACACACACACACACACACACACACAGAGTTACTGATTTGGCAATGAGTGACCTACTTCGCTCTTTTCAAAACGTGTGTTTCCTAGAAGGTATGACTACAAAGGACAGTTTCTTATCTCAGAGTTCCCAAAATCACAAAAACCTTATTACATGCCAAGTAAAGATTCAAACAAAAGTGAAAAGAATCACATTACTATTGATGTGCAGATTTCTCAATGGGAACCCAGTGAGTACAAAACCTACATTGGACTGTCTGCTATAGGGATAGGGTGGGAAGTGATATAAATTTTTCAGAGAGAGAGAGGGAGAGAAGGAAAGAGATGGGCTGTTCATTAAATGCAAGAAAATCTGAGGGTAAGATCATATTGCATAGTGTTTACTGATTTCTCTGGAAGAAGAGAAGGTGAAGAGAACTAATATTTATTAAGTGCCTACATGCATAGCCCCGAATACATGTTACTTCTATTAACCTGTACAAGAAAGAAGTAGACATTATTATCCTCATTTGACAAAACAAGGCAGAGCATTTCTGAAAGAAAAAATGGTTTACCTGAGGTTTCACAGCAAGTAAGTGATGCACTGGAATTTGAGTTAGTATTATGTCAAAGCTGAAGCTCTTTCCACTATACTGCACCTTAATACTAATCAGAAGAACAAAGAATTCCCCAATTTATCTTTAAATTCACTTAATTTAAAATTCCTCTAAATTTACTTTCTTATCATTGGGTCTCAAAAATTACTACTCAGATGATCTTAGCGCCTGATCAAACCACAATTCTGAAAGAGTTAACCATGTAAGAATTAAAACTCTTATAGCTGAGTGTGATGGTGCACAACTGTAATCCCAGAATTCTGGGAGGTTCAGGAAAGAGGATCAAGTGTATGAGGCCAGCCTAGACTACACAGCAGACCCTGTCTCAAAACAACAACAATAACAACAGAACTGCAACCCTTTAATTGGCAACTTTGCCCAAATGCCACTACCAAAAAGTGGAAGCAGAAATTAACTGAACTCGAATACTGATGTTCAC